GATGATGATGATGATGATGATGATGATGATGCTGATGATGCTGATGATGATGATGATGATGATGATGATGATGATGATGATGATGATGGTGATGGTGATGGTGATGGTGATGTTGATGGTTTTGATGGTGATGATGATGACGTTGATTGTGAGATTGATTGTGATATCGATAGTGAAACCGAATGTGAGATCGATTGTGAGATCGATTGTGAGATCGATTGTGATACCGATAGTCAGATCAAGTGTGAGATCGATCGAATGAGATAGATCGAGTGAGATCGATAGTGAGATCGATCGAGTGAGATCGATCGAACGAGACCGATAGTGATATCGATAGTGAGATCGATAGTGAGACCGATAGTGAGACCGATCGAGTGAGACGTTGGTTCCTCCCCCCCCCCACCCCCCCGTCCCCCCCCCCCCCCCCCGCCCCGAACAGCCTCCTTATCACCCGCCGAAGGGTACAGGGTGCTGTCGTATAGGTAAAATAGGCCAAATGACAGGGATGCCAATGCGCTTTGCCATATCTTCTAGGCTTTGGTCTGTGCCACTTGTTCGAGACGAAGTCGAACGGATGCAAGTTTCGCTCCTGGCCTGGATTGCCTAGCCGGGCCAGAACTGCATCCGCGGCCTCTGGCCCTGGACGATCCTTTGGGCCCCCTCCCCTCACTCCTCCTCCTCCTCCTCCTCCCCATCCTCCTCCTCCTCCCTAATCTCCTCCTCCCTCCTCCCTCCTCCCCTCCCCTCCTTCCTTCCCCCCTCCCATCCTCCTCCTCTCTGCCTCTCCTCCTCCTCCTCATCCTCCTCCTCCTCCTCCTCCCCCTCCTCCAGCGCGCGCGAGGCGATCCACAAGATGAAGGCCGAGAAGATGAAGGCCAAGGCGCTCGCCGAGCAGCAGGAGGCTCCCAGCCTCGCAGGGCTCCTCTTAGATGCTTCCGACCCGTCTCCAGTCGACTTCGGCAGATCCGATTCCCATGCGGCTGACTCCGGATATGCCGACCTAGACTTTGGTGTGTATCCAGGGAGGCTTCACCAGCCTGGTGATCTCCGCCGCTTCGATCCCTCCCGACTCAGCAGCTGGCATCTGCCGATCCGATGCCTTCCGATGGGCGATCCGACTTGCCCCTTCGATTCTGGGCTCTCCTGCCTCGTGGGCGGGGCGGGCGCCCCCCAGCGGAGGCGGCGCCGCGGGCCGCCTCCGTGGACAGCCTCGGTCGTGCTTTCTTGCCTTCGGTCCCCGGGGGCCCTCCCCGGGGCCTGGGGGTCAGTGCTACCAGGGGGCAGCCAGAGCGCCAGATTTTGCAGGACCCTGCAAAGCCAGGGCTGCATTGGCCCGGGTCCGCGCGCAGGATCCTGCAGGATCCGGCATAGCCTGTCTGACCCAGGTTTGCATCGACCTGGGTTACAGTACCCACCCCGTTAACGTGGGCTCCCCACCTGATGTCTCCCGGACCCCCGTGACACCGGGCCCGAGCCGCGCGGAATGGGCGTGACACCTGCATTCAAGCGACATGCTTGTCTCGGAATGATGCTCTGGCCAGTGCACGGGCCACATCTCTGATTGAATGCGGATCGCTCTCAGAGCGTTCTGGAACGCTGTGAAACGGCCGCGGCGCGTGATACACCTTTCAAGCCCGCCGATTATGCCGCGGCGCCTGGCACACCTTCCAAGCCCGCCGATTCTCAGAGATTTCCGACTTCTATCGGTCCGATTTTGTCTCGGTCTTGCTTTCGTCTTACGACTTGGATTCGAGTAGGGGATCGACAACCGAATTGATTTACCCCAGAATTGATTCTTTCTTCGAATCTTCCAGAAATGTGTAGAATACTTGATAATGTTCGTAGATCTACGAACATTCGACCCACTTTGCACGGATCGGACGAACAAGCAATTTCTCGGGGCCCGCTTTGGGGGCAGAGCGGTTCTGTAGTCGATCCCCTGCTCGAGAGGCGCGGCCAGCAGCCTGACCGGGGACCGCCCGAGGCCGACTCGTGCCGAG